CAGGGTACTGAGAACTGGGTGTGGGTGAAGGAGCCGAGGACACTGAATGTGGCAGGCAGGGAATGGGGGAAGAGCTGGCACTGGATAGGGGACGCAAGGGGATCGGAGCAGGTGGAGAGGCCGTCAGGTGCGCCGGAAAAGAGGGCGATTTGCTGCGGGTGCTGGCAGGTGGTAGGGTTGAGGTGGCGAAGGTTGTGCTGCCGGCGCCGACTGGGGCGCCTCCTCCGCCAAGGGCCAGATATCCATAAGCCCCCGACCCCCGTGAGACCACTGCCCCTTTCCCCAACCCTAGAGGCCAGCGACTGTCCAACGGCCGACCCCTGGCCGCACAGAGCCTTGGGAGAGGACAGGCGGGCGCAGAGGAAGTCGTGTGTAATCAGGGTGCTGGGGTGTGAAGAGCCGCGACCCTGGACACCGGAGGCTCGAGAGCCCCAGGATGCCCTCCGCTCCGCCCAGCATCAGCCCGTTCTCTTTGTCTCTGATAAGGGCCTCTAGCGCCCTCTCCGTGGCTGCAGCACCCAGGGCTGGGGCGACCCTCTGCTTTCTCCAGGCCCGCTCGACCCTCTCCAAGAGTCCACAGATCCTCCGCTAGCACCAAGGACCCTCCACCGCGCGGGTTGGCTTTTGTTCCTTGGAGTGGATGGGGTGGGTGGGCTAGGAGCGCAGTCTGGACTGTCCAGCGGTCAGAACGAGGGTGGGGTCCAGGGGCGGGGCTAAGGCAGAACAAAGGGCTCATAAGTGCGTGGGATGCCTCCCACAATTATTTAAAAGTCACACCCCAGGTGCTCCCCGGATTTGGGTTCGGTTCATTTATTGTCCATTGTGGGCCTGGGTTCCAAGGGTGGTCATCTTCCATCAGGCTCTGGATCCCACAGCGGCCACGCGGTCCCCAATCTTCCGGCTGCTGATGGGGAGGCGGATACGCCTAAAAACTGCTGCACTGCGAGGGAGAGGCCCCCCGAGACCCGGCGAGCGCACAAAGTGTGTGCGCAGACTCGGAGTACCCACCCTCCTTCAAATCTACAGTTTCTAGGTAGTCAAAGAAGGAGCCGATCACTTTGTTACTTTTCGTGTGAGAGAGACAGAGACAGAGAGGGAGACAGAGAGAGACACACAGAGAGAGACACACAGGGAGACAGAGACACAGAGACAGAGGAGAGACAGAGACAGAGAGGGAGACAGAGAGACACACAGAGAGAGACACACAGGGAGACAGAGACACAGAGAGACAGAGAGCAGAGACAGAGACACAGAGGAGAGACACACAGAGAGAGACACAGAGAGACAGACAGAGGAGAGACAGAGAGACAGACAGAGACAGACGGAGAGAGGAGAGAGAGAGAGAGAGAGATGCTGAACCTGAGGGCGCAAAGGGCGCCTGGAGCGCTGCACGGGCTCACCGCCCACCCGAGCCCCGCGGCTCCGCCCGCGGCGAGGCGCCCCCGCCCCCGCT